TCTATCAATCGAAAGGAGACTGCGACCACACCAGAGGCCACAACATCTTGGTCTTCATATATTTAATCTATTCAACCTACGAGACCCTTCTAATCAAATCTGAGGCGAAATTAATGTTCGAATAAGATGAGACTAATGTGCAGACGCGTTTTAAATCTAGATTAACTATTTTCAAATCGCTCTCACTCGGGCGTAGTAAATGCAGCAAAGAGACGCCCGGAGATTGGGTCGATGTGGATGGCGTGAATTTCCGTGAAGATGCTGAAGCTCGGTTGGGCCAAATGGAAACGTGTAGATGGACAGACGATCGAGGCCTTGGCAACTGTTAGAGGCGCTTTCCAAGCTCCAAATAACTCACCTCCTGGGTCCAACTAGACATAAAGGCACCGTAAATTCATGAAATTTTATACATATTCAAATATTCTGTATATTAAATATAAAGTTGTCTCGTGTAGACTTGAGTAAGTAATATGCATGCATAAGTAACCAGATGTAGAAGGTTGGTATGCGTGGATCATAATATATGATTAAAACCTTTACTAGCATTTCCTGCTATGTTAAGAAGTGGTGTAGTACCAGTTCTGCTTTATCCGCATAAAAATCAAATAAAATTTAACACTTATCAAATATAGTATGATCTACGTAAAGTTAGACAACGAGAATTACAATTGCCTTGGCTTCTACTCCAATTTACTACTAGAGCCCCTGAGACAAAGAATATTAATTCCCTAGAAGGAAAGATGTCTCTTGCAATAGATTGCGTATGAGGTGCGAAATGGTCAAATGTTAAGACCATTAGTCAAATGATGGATACAGAGTTTGTATTTGATTAAATCATTAATTAGTACACAAGTTGTCAATGGCAAAAGATATTTTGGGTTAAGCCAGGTTGGCCAGCATGGATATATTTTTCTTAAATTGTGTAGGTCTGACATAAATTATGTATGAATAAGTTAACCAATGTCTGGCTAGTCTGAAACGTCAAATGCAAAAAATTCTTAAACACCATAGCCAATAAATATTTTTGATGCAGTGTCAGAAAGCAAGGTCAGAAGCATAATCAGGTTTGGAAGATGAAAATAAGTGTCCTACCTCAAAAGAAATTGATAGAACATTTTTATGGCGATGAGATAAAAACAATATTTTTTGTTTATAAGTAGGGTTTCGCGACTACCAGTAAATCAGATACATGAGTTTTTTTAACTCGATTTCGTTTAAGGTGATTAAGGACTGATAATTGACTTTTCCCACAATGCTATGATTAGACCTTACATTTCCAATTAATTTCACAGGTTTCTTTTCCCGAAAGGTATTATCAATCTTATAAACACCCCCCGAGGGACTCGAACCATGACAGTGCAGCGCATAAACT